ACAAGCTGTACACTCACTACTTTACATTGTAGCAAAGTGTCATTTCTTCAGTGTCGTCACATGAAATGATATAATAAAATATTTACAAAAATGTGAGGGGTGTACTCACTTCTGTGAGATACTGTATTTGTCTTTTATCTCGGCACACTGATTGTTTGCATTGTTTTTAAGTTACTCACATTGAGGTTACCTAAAGTAGTGCTTTGTAGCTGTCAGCTATTTCTAATTGGCGCAATATTTGTAATAATTAATAATCTCTGACACGTCACACATCTTCCATTACAGAGCCAGAATTTTACCACCTCAACAGGCTTCTCTCTTTCTCCGGCTTACAATCTTGACATGCTATCAGCCCCTTAACTTACTAAGTGATTGACCTTGGCTATAACATATCTGATCTGCAACAAGATTCATTATTATATAATAACAGTATATAATACTACCTATGACTGTCCATGACCTTATCATTCACAACCAGGCATTCAAGTCCAGCAGAGTATATAACATTAAAGGGAAACAACATTAAATCCAACTATACAAATAGAATGCTTTTCTTCTTTATTAAGCACTTCTTGTATGGATCCTTTGAATGCATTCTGGATGGAATATGACATCACAATGACATCAGAGGGAGGTTTTCATTATTTATTTTTTACATTTCTGACTATTTACATTGGGTATGTATTGTTGCAAAGCACAGTGGGTGATATGACACTTTGTCTGACAAAGGAACCCCACGTGGTTCAGAAACGTCTAATTTTATGCTGCAAAACCGACAATAAAGACGAGATTCTGAAGCGTACCTGTGTGCGGGCGACATATCTTTTATAAGTGGGAGGAAGGGTGCCCCTGTGTAAGTGCTCAGTGGGAGGACTGGTTTTTATTACAGAGGCCAGTCTACGGCAGCTAGCAGGCTCTAACCAGGGCGTCGGAAATTAATTGAGGACCGCTGATTTAGATACACAAAAGGAGATCAATTTGATGTAAATAACACTGCACAACAAAGTTTTTGCTTCTTGAACAGTGTTGGGTGTTCCTTATAGATTTTTGACTGCTGATCACGAAAGTCCCATCCAAATGTGCCCATCATATACCGTTTCATTGAAATCTTCAGTTTTGTTATGTTTTTTCTTATATTTGTGTCCAAAAATGTTAGTTTCTGTAAGAGACCTATGAACAATGTTTTGTGCAGGCTGGGCATGTCCAGGTATGAAATCAGGCCAGGTTTGGAAGCGGTTCTGCAGAAGTATTCAGCCTGGGCATGCCTGGGCAGGCCGGAGCCAGCTTGACACTGTCTCAGCAGGCTATAAAAGTGGCTTGCATACACAGATGCTGCTCATTGTATTATTATAGACCTTATAGTGTGTACGTATTGTTTCAGAATATAGCAGTGCCACAGTAGCACTGTAACAAGTAAGTTAGATGTTATAGACATTTTACAGGACGATTGCTGTCGGTCGATATGTCTCGTCAATGTCGTAACAGCTGCAATACATTCTGCTATATTTGTGTCAAGTATACGCTTGTTTATCAGAGACGCTCAATGACTGCTCTTGTGAAGAAAGCATATCATCTATACTTCACATTTGTTGTGCGACATGTGCTGTCTGTCTGAGAGCTTGGCTCAGAGGCACTCGAAAGACAATGCCGTTTGCTGTCCCAATAATATGGAGAGAACAGAAAGACCATGTGACGGACTGTTACTTCTGTTTGACTAATGTGTCTGGTTTCTCTGCTAAAAACAAGAAGTCAGTTGAATACCTTAATCTGCCTTCAGTAATGAGACCCGAGCCACATGACGACAGTCTTCCAATTCCGAAACCACCAGAGGAATGGACCTTAGATGAACCAGATGAAGAAACTGCAATGGAGGGAACTGGCAGTGACATTGATCCGGATTTTGAACCGTGCTCAGGCGATTCACATCTCATAACACAGTCAGAATTAAATGATCTGGTCAGAGATTTGGGTCTGTCAAAAGCAAAAGCTGAATTGCTGGGTTCGAGATTGCAGGAATGGTATTTGCTATCACCAGGTACTAAAATTTCTCTTTTTCGAAGCTGTCAAAATGAGATAACCAAATTCTTTGCACAAGTTGACACTCTTTGTTTCTGTGTTGACATCGAAGTCGATTGTTCTTTGCTTTGGGTTGTGACCATGACTCGCAAGAGTGGAGTCTCTTTATTGATTCGTCAATTATTAAGCCATCAATGGCAACATTCACCCTTCAATACCTGTTGGCTATGCAGCACACATGAAAGAAACCTATGAGAACATGGAAATGTTGCTGAAGCACATCCAGTACAGCAAGTACAACTGGAATATCTGTGGAGATCTGAAAGTCGCAGGTCTTGGCATTCAGAAAATATATAATGTTGGGGGGTTTTATGTCATTTTCAGGCCTAAAATGTGGAATATAACATGGGTGCAAAAATGGAAAAAAGGGTCTCAGTCATGAAGGGGTTAATGGGACTGCAGCTCGGCTATACAAAGTACTGTTGTTTCATCTGTGAATGGGACAGTCATGCCAAAGAGTCACATTATTGTAGACAGAGCTGGCCACTCCGTAAAAAGTTAGTTCCAGGACAGATAAATGTGGTGCATGAACTGCTTGTCGACCCGGCAAATAATTTTTTGCTTCCTCTTTACATAAAATTGGGACTTTTGAAGAATTTCGTGAAAGCAATGAACAAAGAAGGCGAAGATTTTCGTTATTTAAGACAGATGTTCCCAAGAATAACTGAGGGCAAGATCAAAGAAGGCATTTTTGTTGGCCCTCAGTTCAGACATGTGGTTCGAAGGCCTGTTAGTTACATAGTTACATAGTTACATAGTTACATAGTATTTGAGGTTAAATAAAGACATTAGTCCATCAAGTCCAACCTATTAGGATCTCATTCTAGGAGTACCCGTACCCCTGTATATTACGGTCCCTTAAGAAATTGACTTCTCCCTCTTCCCCTATATTTGGAGGTTTATAGCAAATACCCACGAGAAGTTTACGGCTAGCGTCCGTCATATCTAGCTCCAGCCATAGAGTTTCCACGTCTTCCCCATTATTTGACGTGATATCGTCCCTTATATGCACATATAGATTATTTTTTACGTAAATGCAAACCAGAAAAGATTGGGCCAGAAAAGATTGCCTGGAAATCTTTCAAAGACGTTGTTGACAATTTTCTTGGCAATTACAGAGCCCCACATTACATTCAGCTGACTACTGTTGGAAACTGCAACATGATGCACCGAACATTGAATATAAATGAAAATCAGTAGAAAAACACCTTTAATTATGTTGAATTTAAAGAGGCTCTGCCTCTAGATAGGCAGAGCCAGCTGTCACTCACGCAGCTGGGCGGATCCCGTCATCTACGTCGGGGATCCGCTCCGGCGTCTCAGTTTAACAAAGCGGTAACCCCGAGCCACACTCGGGAATGCAGCGTACAGGTCTTACCTGGGCCGCGATCCCCGCTGTGTTTTCCGGCGGCTGCCGACTTCCGTGTTCCGTCCCTTGCGAGTGGCCACGTCACAGGGGGGCGGAGCCGGCGGGAAGTTTAAAAGTGAAACCAAAAAGAAAAAAAATTGTTTTAAAATAGAGAAAATAAAGGGAAAAAAAACTTTAAAAAAAACATACCGCCAGTGAAACTCGCGTTTCACTGAACGAAAAAAGGCAAAAAAAACTAGCTGAAAATCGCGCTGAAAAACTAGCATAAAAAATACGCTCAGGTGTGAACCCAGCCTCAAAATCTCCTGTTTTCTTAGCTCTTACAAATGTCTCTAAGTTTCTTCGATCTGTCTTGTGATACATGCTTGAACTTCAAGCCCTTTGTTTGTGTGAGATACCTAAAACACTTCCTCGCCTTACACCAGTGTATGTTATATGAATCATATAATGAGAGTATGTAATATATGTTTTAGCTGCAAATAGTAAATACTGCAAAATTAACAGTTGTACCTAATTTTCAAATGCATGTAGTCACATTTTTTTTGTTGTAAATTGTCACAACCCCTAGCCAATTAAACTGAACATATGATGAAAAATGCATCAAATGAGGTTACCTGCTGTAAAAAGCCCTTTAAAATAATAATTAAATGCAGAAATTTAATGAAAGTTTTCTTGGTATGTTTAGTCGTGTACCTTCCATGCAAATTACACTTTAGCTACCAAAATCTTTGCATTTATATACAGGTGAAACTCGAATAATTAGAATATCGTGCAAAGTTCATTTATTTCACTAATGCAACTTAAAAGGTGAAACTAATATATGAGATAGACTCATTACATGCAAAGCAAGATAATTCAAGCCCTGATTTGTCATAATTGTGATGATTATGGCTTACAGCTCATGAAAACCCCAAGAACCCCAAATCCACAACCTCAAAAAAGTAGATTATTACATGCAATCAATAAAACAAGGATTGTACATAGAACAATATCGGACCTCTGAAAAGTACAAGCATGCATATGTACTCAGTACTTGGTTTGGGCCCCTTTTGCAGCACTTACTACAATTACTTTTGCACGATATTCTAATTATTCGAGTTTCACCTGTATAAATGCAGAGATTTTATATAAATAAATCTTTACATTTATATATAAATGCAGAGGTTTTGGTAGCTAAAGTGTTATTTGCATGGAAGGTACACGACTAAACATACCAAGAAAACTTTCTTTCTTTTTCTTTCCTTTTCCAAGAAAACTCTAACTGCCTGTATCTCAGGCTAAAAATCTACTGACAATTTTAACTTAGAGATTTGTCCATAATAAGCCCAAAACATATATATTTAAGCTCATGCATTTTGTTGCTGTAATGGTAAAAAGTCTATGAGGCTGTTATTTGCATCAACTAACTGCTACTTAGTAATGTTTTTAGGTAACTAAAGTAGGGAGTATGAAATATTTTCCTGACACTTTTCTGAATTTCACAAGTTCCTTTTAACAATGACTATATACAATGTGTTATTTACTGACGTCTGATTATCCTTTTATTGATTGACAGATGAAAAGTTTCTTGAAAACCACAGCCTGGCAAAAAGTGCCCAAGAGAAAGTCAACTCTGCCCTTATGGAATATACAATGTGCCACTATCCTCACTGTACAGACAAGTATCGCCTACTTCTGTTGAGACTAGCTGAAATCCGGTCCATCAGCATGCAAGCAGAAGAGTACCTCTACCACAAGCACCTTAGCGGAGAAGTTCCTTGCAACAATTTATTAATTGAAATGCTCCATGCTAAGCGAGCCTGAATGGACTTGTACAGAAGTGACTGTATGCTTTAGCCTTCAAGACATTGATGGACTTAAACCAGAGACTCTGCAGGGAGTGAGATCATTTTTATTATAGATGCCTGCTCAAAAAAAAAAATCTTCAGTGATGTATTTAACCTATAGTATTGGAAAGTTTCAGATTTATTTTACTATAAATGTGGATCTTCACTGAGTGGTATTATATGTAATATCTTTTTAATATGCCATAATTGCTTGTGTTTTGGTTCATGACAATCTAAATGCTTTTTAACATTATGTGAAAAAGACAACTGAATTTGTGGTTAACCTCTATGTATGTTTATTTTAAATAGTCTTGCGATAACTTTTGTCCCTTTGAAAACTGTTCCAAAATATGCCTTATTTGTTTGATCTTTTATGATAAGGTTGTAAAGCCCATTTGAACTCAGATATGTTGTGAATGTCGGTTTGGATTAGCAAATTAACTTTAAAGCACCTAACATGAAGGCTTTAAGAAATAAAGACTCTCTAAGTTATGATCCTTACTCTTTATTTGATGAACAGAGAGAGTATAAACTTATGGTAAGAAGGAGCTAAAGAAGCAAAAGCAAAAATCCCTCCAACTAAATCAGTTTGTAGCGCAAACTGAACTTAGAACAGAAGATAATCGCATGTCTCATTCCATCACATATCACAAAAAGAGGATTATTCTTCATATCATGTCATTGGCCGAAGCCATGCAATTCATTCTTTTATGCCCCAACAGCTAAATGCATATCTAGACGAATCAGTGTATAGTGCAAATATAGTCTAATATTGTAGAAATATTCATTCCAAACTGCATAGAGCTGTCTCAGGCTTTCTGGCCATCATCAGTGCAGTGTATGGAAACCATGGCTTCTATGAAGTAGGGCTTGGGACCCAATGTGGCAGAATAACCATACAGGTTAGGAAAAGAAAGGACTAAAGGAATCGAAAGCCCCCCAACTGAATCAGTGGTCAGCACAGTAAAGCTTTCTTAGAACAGAAGGTATTCACATTTCCCATTCTATCACATATCTAAAAAAAAAAGAGGATAACGTATTTCTCATGTCAGGGCAGTGGGTAGAACTATACTATTGTGATGAATAGGCAAAGGAGATATAGCATTTCATACATTAACATATGGGGTAATATTTACAAAACATTCGATGGTACTTATTCCAGTGTAATTTTTGAACATTTCATGGTAAAATCTGCCCATTGTATGCAATGTGTAAGTAAATGGGTAATGGGTAAATGTGAACAACAGCAATAGCAAGGTTCATTTTAGAGTTTCTGCCTATTTTTACATTTTAATTATTCATCTCTTTTCACCATTGGTGGGCTGTTATTTTGCCTCCACAGTTTATAAATGTCACTGGAGAATAGACCGGCGTGTGGCCAATATGGCCACTAATTGCTGAAAACTGAGCCAAGCATCTTGGTACCTTGAGATTGTGGTGATGACTAATCACAGCGCTCAAATGGTAGTTTTTACTCTCTGTTGTAGGAGGAAGGGGAGGGATCAGCAATGTATTTTTTTATGACAATTTTTTTATTTTGTTAGTTATACACAGAGTACAGTAATACAGAGTCTTGGAATTAGGACAATGCAGTAGTAATAATAGTCTGTGAAGACTCGAAATTATATAGTTATCTGAACAATCACATATAATATGCAGTCGTAAACATGAACAAGTATCAAAAGCTGGATACAATGAGACCTACGATGCATAACATTGGTTGAGTAGCAGCAAGCACTATATATTTTCCGAAATAAACTTCTCGTGGCTTACACTGAATTGCTCTTCCAAAAATAAAGAAGTGTATGACCATAGATTACAAGGCAAAAAGTAATAATAAAACAGTAACAACCCGTATAGTTCGAATTCAGTATACATAGAAAACAAAATTTAAAAAAAACAGAAACGTAACCAAACTTAAAATAATAGTGGAAATGATAATGGAAATGAAAATGAAAATTGCCTAATTCCACACGAAAATTAACACTGCACCCTGAACAGATAGTACCCTTCAACCTGCACCCGGACTCCCTTGGTTCCTCCTCCCACTTCCCGGCTTAGTTCAAAAAGCCCATGGCGGCTCCCGTCAGATTGGAACACGTCTTAGGCTCCTCGATCTATATTGATCTTGTTATTGTTGTAACAATAATCTGTCCTCCATAGAGTTCCAGGCACTCCAGACCTATTCATAGATCGGTATCGTGTTGTGCAATCTTGGCGTCAAATATTCCAAACCCTGCACCTCTTTAACACGTTGGTAAAACTCCACTTCAGATGGAGGGGATGAACGCTTCCATTGTAAAGCTATAAGGCAACAAGCTGCAGTCAGTACATGAGAAGCCAATTTACGGTCGTGTTTATTGAGGTGCAGAAACGGAAGACCCAACAAATAATTCATAGGTGCTAGAGGGAGGCTTGCCTGTAGTAAACTTTCCAGCGTGACCTGTACCATCCTCCAGAAGGCCCTCAAGCAGGGACAGGACCAATATATATGGTACAGAGATCCAATTTGGCCACCCCCCCCTCCAGCACTCCGGAGACACGGTCCGGAAAATGGAGTGCAGAAATTCTGGAGTATGGTACCACTGATATAATATTTTATATTGGTTTTCCTTGTAAACCGAGCAAATGGATGATTTTGCTGCTGCCCTCCAAATCAACCCCCAGTGTTTCCTAGAAATAGGAATTCCAAGTGTCCTTTGCCATTTGACCATGTATGGATGTTTAATAAAACGTTCCGGATGTGGAGTAAGCAACAATTTATACAGAGCAGAAATCATACCCCTGGAGGATGAAGATGTACTACACATTGTTTCAAAAGGAGTTCGCTTATTAAAGATGAGACTTGGAGCTATAAAATGAGCATGGTCTTTGATCTGGAGGTAAGGAAACATAGTCTTGGAAGGTAAGTCAAATCTATCTCTCAGGAAGGGGTAGTAAATAATGGGAGGTATGGTCTATAATATCCCTGTATATGAATAGACCTTTAGACTGCCAAAGCCATGTATTTTTGAATGACGAGTAAATGTGTAGGTCAGCAGCAGCTGCTGCTGATCCATTCATTCATTTTCACTTAGCGACTTTTTTGTAATCTTTTTACCCCTCCCTTACACATCTGATCTCCAGGCTGTATCTATGTTTGACCTGTATAGTTCCCTTCACCTCCCTTATCCTGCACATTAACCCCTTCATCTGCATCCTCACAATGTTTATTTACCTCCACCTCCTCCTGTGACCTGTGACTATGTCCTATATTCTGACTCTGATTGTTGTATTAGCGATTTAGCCCTTGCTGAAGCCTCTATGCCTGGCCTGTATAAGCAGATAAAATCACTGCGGACAATCCTTATCAGATAGCTGAACTCACCAGATACCTTGTCACCCACTAATTGCTTTGTTGCATGCAGCTGGGTTACAGCAGACAACAGGAAACAGCAGATGACTGAACACACATTATACAATTATGATAATGTTTTCAAGCATGCATGCAGATTAACCCCTTCGTGACGGGAGACGTACACTCAAATGACTCGTCACGTACACTGTACTTGACGAGTTATTTGCTGCATTAGAGGGCTGGTAACCGCTGAGAATCAGCGGTTACCATTCATTAATGGATGCCTCAGTAAAGTTTTTCAAAAAATAGTGAAAAGTGTAAAAAAATAAAAATAGTGAAAAGTGTAAAGAAAAAAAAAGAAGTGTAAAAAAATAAAAAAATAAAGGACAAATAAATGAATGTATTTATTGCATTTTTTTTAGCTGTGCTGGTTTTGTAAAAAATACTACAAATCAAAACTGTTTTCTTTTACGTTTTTTCCTCTTTTTTAAAATATTTTATTTGTCCTAAGTGAGGCGTTAGACACACATATGTGATATAAATATGTAGCCCTATGTGTCCTCTAAAAAACAATATATAATATGTGTGGGTGCACTTTGTAAGAAAGTATATTACTGGAAGAATCACACAGCAAAAATGTCAAAAGTGTGTCAGTCATTTACGAACAGAAACTAAAAACAAGCTCAGTCATGAAGGGGTTAATATGTGGCCATGTTATTTTATTTCTGAGCTAAAGACATTCTGTTATACACTGCATATTAGGATCAGTTCACTTTCAGCAACGTCTTTTGCAGAAAGAAGCTTTTGGCATATGTGCCAACCTTGACAGTGAGCATCATTGGGCTTAGTGTGAAAACAGTGCACAATATGAACTAACCTTGCAGTAGTGCGTACAAGCCTTTTCCACTTTGATAAACATTCAAAGCGTTGACAGCCCAAGACGAAACTTTGTTCAGATCTGGTGACAAGGGTTTAGATTTCAGGACGAATCTCTGGATCTTTGTCAGGATCTAGAAGACTGAAGGCATCAGCTGTAATTTCTTCTGGGTGATCCAGCAGGAATTCAGGACCTGTTAACCAAGAAGAATTTGTGAAGACACTTGCAGACACTTGCCTGGTGGCATGATCTGCAGGATTAATTTATGATGGAACATAATGCCATTGTTCAGGCTTAGAAGATTTCCTGATTCTGTCTATGATAGTTGACATAGACATAGAAGCGTTTTGTCTGATTGTATATGTAGCCCAGAACAACTTTGTTGTCTGTGTAGAACTTGATGTCATCTATCTGAATATCTAGTTCATGCAGTATGAAATCTGTGATTTCTACAGCTAGCACAGTCCCACAAAGTTCAAGCCTAGGAATTGTGTGTTCAGGCTAAGGTGCTAACTTGGCTTTGCCAAATAGAAACCCTACATGGGTTTGGTTAGAATAGTCTCTTACCTTGAGGTAGGCGACAGCTGCTATGGCCTCAGTAGGTGCATCTGAGAAGATGTGAATCTCTTTTCTCTGACTTGCAGCAAGGGAGGCTGAATTGTAGCAGCGTGGTATGTGAATTCCATCTAAAGCATGTAGAGATTGCTTCCAGGACTCCCATTTTGAATGCTTGTCTGTTGGTAGTGGAGCATCCCAATCTTTAATAGTCTCTGATAGCTGTCTCAGTGAGGATTTACCTTGTATGGTGATGGGAGCCGCAAATCCCTGTGATCGTATAGGCTGTTCACCACTGCCAGAACACCACGTTTGGTAAAGGGCTTGTCTGCAGAGCTGACTTGAAAGCCTAAGGTGTCTTTTAATAAGTCCTACCGTAGGCCCAGACTTATCTGTACAGGTGGCATGCCCATTCCCAGATTTAAGTCTTTCTATCATGTGGCATAATCCCCAGGTCTAAAGGCTTTCATAACAACAGCATTGTTTTGACAGTCTTATGGAGTCTTATGGAGTCTGAGGTTGGTCTCAGAAAGCATACCTTGAGTCCTTTGTAACAGGTCTATTGCTTCTTCAGGAAGAGTAGAATCATCTTGCATGATGACTGGCGTAGAAGACTCTGATAGGTTTCCGCAGCTGTTAGCTGCTTGCAGAGTTACCGGTGTGATGCTTGAGGAATCAGGTGCATTGTCCTGGGTGTTTGCATC